TCTTCCTTCCTTTTTTCCTTTTCTTTCTCTCTCTCTCTCTCTCTCTCTCTCTCTCTCTCTCTCTCTCTCTCTTTCTTTCTTTCTTTCCTTCCCTCCCTTCCTTCCTTCCTTTCTTTCTTTCTAGATTCTCTTTCCTAGCTTCCTACAAAATCAAATTTTCTTTGCAAATTTATAATCCCTGACAAGGACAGAGTACCTAATAAACAAGTTAAGTATGGTCTGATGTGTACTTACTAAGTAATCTGTAGTGAACACACAATTGTTATTAAGAACAAATAAGCATGTGCTTACCTTGGTTACTGAGTAACCAACCTGTGAACCCAAAGCAAAGATGGGGTGATATGTTTTCTATGCCATAAGCAAAATGCCCGTTGTTGAGGAAGCCCTGGTGCTGAGTGAATTACCCATGGAAAGGGTGTCACAGAGGCCGAGCCTGGTGAGCCAGTACTCCACTTCCACACTCCCGCCTGCTCTCTGCATGCGTGTATGTTCTTCTCTGCTCCCCCCACCTGCTCTTTGCATGCATGTCCGTTCTCATTTGCCAAATCCCCCACCCCACCCTCTTTCTTCATGCATATCCATTTTCATCTGCCACTCTGTCTGCTCTCTGCATGCATGTCCATTCTCATCAGCCAGCCCCACAACCTGCTCTCGCCATGTATATCCATTCTCATCTGTCACTCTCCCCGACTCTCCCACTCTCTGCTGGGATGTCCATTCTCATCTGTCACATCCCATCACCCCCGCCTACTCTCTGCATGCATGCCTGTTTTCATCTGCCAGCCCTCCACCCACGCCTGCTCTCTGCATGCTTGTCCATTATCATCTATTACTCCCCCTGCTGCTCTCTGCATGCATGTTCATGCTCATCTGTCACACACACCCTGCTCTTTGCATGAATGTCCAGTCTCATCTGTTGCACACATCTCCTGCTCTCTGCATACATGTCCATTCTCATCTGCCTCGCCTCCCCCTCAGTCTGCTCTCTGCATGCATGTCTGTTTTTATCTGGCAGCTCCTCACCTCCACCTGCTCTCTGCATGCATGTCCATTCTCACTTGTCGCACACATACCATGCTCTCCTCATGCATGTCAATTCTCATTCGGCCCTTTTATTATGGCAGTGCACAGGCACTCAACACTCAAGCCACCAGTTCTGGGAAGCAGGCAACAGTGCATTTCACAGGTTAGGAAATAGGCTTAGAGGACCACAGGCATGCCTGAGGTCACTGGGCTGGGCTGGGCCTCTAGAGTGACTACATCCTTCAGCAGAGCTGGGATTGTCCCTAGATGTATGTCAGGCTCTTGTTGGAAAGTAAGAATTTCAAGATAGCACTAACAGAGCATTGAGCTTAACCTGAGCCTTCCAGGTGGGAGCATGTGGTAGCCATAGCTCAGGAGCCAGAGACATAGCGAGCTGAAACCACTTCCTGCCTCCTGCCCAGATGAATATGGATGCCAGCTCTACAGCCCAAATTTTCACGAAGGAAGAACAGCAGTGGGCTTCCTGAGATCCCAGTTCTTATCTGGTGTCCCAAGGTTTTTCTCATTCTTTAGTTTCTCTGCCTTTTTCTTTTTTAATTAACAGTGATAATGACTTTTTAGGGAGCTCTGGTGGTCTGATGATAGGAGTTGAGCTGCCACCTGAAAGGCACTCCTCCTGGGCAGTCATCTATGAGTGGGCTCCAAGTCAGTGGCACATGACGACTTTTAAAATTGGTCTCAGTCTCAGTACTTCCCTTTAAAAAGTGTGGGCCTGAATCGGCAGTATCCCTGGTCCCTTGTTGGTGGGGATGGGGCTTAAAGGTAACTGACCAGAAGGTAACCTAGGCAGTGTCCCAGCGGCCTGGGTTACAAAGGTGGGCCTCAGAGGAGCAGGCAAGCATCATCAACTCTGACCTTTCTCCCTAGAGGGACACGTGAGCTGTGCTATGTGTCTTCTTAGAGGTCTGTGTGCAGCTAGCCCTAAGGGTCAGACTGTTGTTGGATCCCTTCCCACATACTCATCTGGCTCTTCTAATGCAAAGTGGTCAATAGTGTGGGGGCTGTGTGCCTTCTAGGGGAGCCCTCTGACAGAAGTGGAAGTGCCAGCACCCTCTGCAGGACCCCACTGCTTGGCTCTGCTTTGTCACTGAGACCCTTCCTCTTACCTTTCTCAGCTGGTCCTGGCAGGAGTGGCAGGAGGAAAGGGATGGTGATCGCAGAGGAGGCAGGTGGATCCTTGGCTGGCAGGGAGGAGGCTGGCTATTTAAGGAATGTGGGGTAGGCGGCAGCCTCTCTGACCCTAAAAGACTGCTTCATTCTTGAGGGACCCTTGTGGTACTGGCCACTCCTGTGGCTGCCTTATCTGCTATGGTCTATAAATATCCCAGTCTCCCAGCCCCCAAGCCTCACAGAGGCTGAGCCTGTGATGGCCCTTGGACTGTGGACTGGGCATGGTAGGTTGGGGACTTTGTGGTATTAGCCAACACAAATGGATGTTTCAGAATAGGGTAATTTCCTGTGAATGGGATTGGGCCAGAGGAGGGGTTAGCCACTGTGCCAGCATGCTGTTGCTCACCCCCAAACCTGCACTGGATTTGGGGCAGCAAGGAGATCTTGTGATAGGTGGTGGGAACTACACAATCTTCTATAGCTGAATTAGAGGAGACTCTTTCAGGCACTTGTGTCCTGCCCTATATAATTAGGTCCCATTCATGTAAGAGGAATAAACCACAGCCTTTATTTTCAGCATGGAACAGCTGCAGATCACCTCATAATGGGGCCCTGTCTGTGGCTCAGCTGGGAGGTTGTCCCTAGTTATCTGGCTCCTGGCTGAAAGACCTAGCCGCTCTGGCCCTCTGGATGCTGTCCCTAAAGCCTAGGGTCTTTAAAGTGGTTCAGAGCCAGTCTGTATTTGGGTGTCACAACTGCCAAACTGTATGAAACGCTTCTTCCATCCCACTGCTCCCAAAATGATTTATCCAGGAACTGAAATCAGTTGCATCTATTTCCTTGTCAACCCTCGTGTTGTAAGAGTAGAACTATGCTCCATTTAATGGCTGACTTAGTGGATAATAGGGCCTTTTTCCCAAGATTCTTTTGGGTGGTTATGAACTTCAGTATTGTGGTCAGCAGCACAGCACTTAACCATTTACATCACTCAGGGATTCACATTCAGTAACACAGGCACTCAAATAATTATTTTCCATTTTAAGAGTTTTAAGTACAATTTTTTAAAAAATGTATGTACCTACCATTTGGGAAGCACCTACCAGATGTACTATTTTTAATATTCCTTCCCCCAATGATCCTGTGCATTTGGGATATAGATATAGATATACCCCTTTTTACAGGATAAATAAACCAAGTTTCAAAAGGCTTAAATAGCTTGCCTGCTGATAAACTGACAAACACCTGTGAAATGGCAGAGGTAGGATTTACTCAAGTGTGTGTGTCTTAGACTGGATTCTTGCTTTTATTGACATACCTACCCTATCTCTGTCTATCTATCTATCTATCTATCTATCTATCATCTATCTATCTATCTATCATCTATCTATCATATATTATCATCTATCTATCATATATTATCTATTATCTATCTATCATCTGTCATCTGTCTATCTATATATCAACTATGCCTGTCTATATTTGGGCGCTCTAGTAAGGAGTTGTGCAATTTACAGACTAAAAACCTACTAGAGTGTCAGCTGTGGGTCAGTTCAGACTTGACAGAACACAACAACAACATCTATATATTATTGTAGATTATTGTTGTTGTTATGTGCCATTGAGTGCCTGCATCTCACAGTGACCCTATGTACAACAGCTCTGAAGCTTGCCCTGTCCTGAGCTGGTCTCACTGACTCTGACATACCTTCCCACGTTGCCCTAGTTACTGTTTCAATCTATCTCCTCTGGGGTCTTCCTCTCCTATGCTTTCCCTCCACCCTTCCAAGCATGATAGCCTTCTCCAAAGACCTGTCCCTCCTGGCCACGTGTCCAAAGTATGTAAGATGGAGCTTCAAAATCCTAGCCTTCAAGAAGAAACTTGGTTTTACCTTCTCCAAGACACACCTATTTGTTTTCTTGGAGGTCCATGGTATGTTCAAAATTCTTCTGCCGCTTCACAACTTGAAGGCATTTATTCTTCTGCCATCCTTAGTCATTGTCCAGCTCTCTGATGCATAGTGAGTAATTGCAAAGACTATGGCCTGGATCAGGCACACTTTAGTCTCTAGGCTGGTATTGTTGCTTATCAGTTCTCTGGAGAGGTCTCTAACAACAGATTTCCCTAATGCATTTTGTCTTTTAATTTTCTGACTG